TGGGGAAGCGCCGGCCGGGGGCGCAGGGTCTGGAGGCTGCCCGGCAAACCGTGAACCCGCAAGCACCCGGGCAGCCCTTTCCGCGTGGCTGGGAGTGGGAGGGAGGAAGGGGCGGAGTTAGGGCGGGGAAGGAGCGGAGTTGGGGCGGGGCTGAGGGTGGGGAAATGGGTGGGGCCAGGACCCGTGGAGGGTCCTCTTTTTTTATTTAATAGATATGGTAACCCTAGTAGTGAGAAATAAGCCAACTGGAGGGTTAATGGAAAGACTACAGAATGCTATCTGCCTATTGGATATTCATAGAAGGACAGCGCACCAGTCATAGCAGGAGAGGTCTTCCATATTTGATCATTAAAGCAGGTTTGGATTCTGTTCATGGATAAGCACATCTCAGTAAATTTTAAATTCTTTTTTTTCAAAATCTATCCCATTTAATCTCCATCAAGGATAAGCTCCTAACATGTCTCTGAAAATGGAGGCAACTACTTCTGTGTGAAATGAGACCAGGTAAGAAAGGTGCTCTGGACTCACATGCATCATGGACCGTGCTTGTATCTATTCTGAGGGAAGGTTTTATTTCTGTGACCAGTAGAGTTGCCAATTTTGGTTGGACGTATTCCTGGACGTATTTCATCACATAAAGATTAATATTTAATTCCTGGAAACTCCAGGACAATCCTGGAGGGTTGGCAGCCCTAGTGATCAGGGTTCAAGACCTGGCTCAAATCAGGTCAGAAATATGAAGTATTTACTTCATTTAGAAGAATACTTGGCTTGGAAGACAAAAAAAAGAAGAAGAAAAAAGAAAAGAAAAAACTCAACAACTTTGCGTGTATATTTACTTCTGAAGAAAATAAAGTATCCTTTGATGAAAAGAAACTGGAGGTTTCCCAGCCTGCTCCCAGCTGGCTTAAAACAAAATAGTTTTACTTTTTCACTAAGGGCAACCTCTCTGGGAATGATCCAGTTTTGTATTGTTCAGCTATTTCCTCCTTAGCAGGGATTGGTTTCTTGAGGTTTCCACCCACTCCACAACTATTATGGCTTACTTTAGACCAGTGTTTCTCAACCCATGTCCCAATCTGCACACAGCTGCAGCCCATGTGACATCCTCAGGACCATAAAGGTAGTATATATATTGTGTCAATGTGGCTCATATAACACAGAGAGAGCTGTATATGTGGCCCACAATGGTAAAGAGGTTAAGAACCACTGCTTTAGACGATAGTTCAAAAGCAGACCTAACAGTCAGACTAAAATTTAACCAACCTAGAACTTTCTTTCACAATGTTCCAATTTCAGGCCGGTAAAGGAGGGAAGGGAATATTGGGTGGAAAAATTTAAACCAAACTTACATCTCCCAGGTTTAGGATTAGATAATGAAACAGATAAGGTCTCTGTCCCGGCATAAATTGGAAAAAGGACTTTCATAAAATGAAAAACTAATTTTTTTTTATTAAAGGTTAAACTAAGGATCCCTTTCTCTGGCAACGATGCAGGGAGAAGCCAAAGTCCCGGACAGCACATTCCAAAGAGAGTAGGTGATAACACCTGTGTTCTCCTGGTCAATGTTTCCTTTCTTAGGGCTAGATTTTACCAGAGGTGCTGTCAAGCACATTAGAGGGGTTATGCAGCAGCCAAAGCCCTGGTCACAGGGCCAACAGGAAGGGCTGGGCAGGCCAGGCCAGGCCTGGTGTGGTGTGTGGGAAGTGCAGGACTGGAAGAGTCGCATTGTGCAAATCCTCTGGACCTTCACCTTGCAACAGGAGCTCTGAGAACTACCACAATCTTATAGCAGTCACACAGTTGCTTTGCTGCTGCTCCTTGGACAACATGGGGAGTGTTCTTTCTCCCCATTCCCTCACAAACTACATCTCTGCCAAGCTCAGCTATTCAGGCTTTGTTCAGGAGGAGATAATTTAACCCATAATAAAAAAAAGTTGAAGTATTTTGGTTTTATTTAAAGCAAGTAAAACCCATATGTTGCTATGAGGTACAACTTGAGGTATAGACTGAAATTCATCTTACCTTGCAGTATTGTGAAGTTCTTGATGAGCTGACCATGTTTGGAATCTACCAGCTTCATTTCTTCCATAATTAGTGATAAATTTGCAACTTCAATATCTAATCTTGATCTCATCACATCCTGTTGCATCCTGAGAGATGTAGAATCTAAACGAATATTGGCTAGCGTGTTGTTCATAAAAGTCAGGTCATCTGTGTGTCTACTTAAGGTGTCTGTACAAGTTGTCCTGACCTCATTGAGATTGCTAGTCAGTGTCCGCAGATGATGCGCAGTATAGCTGATGTTGCTAATGATATTGACTATATCTGTCTCAAAGAGCTGAAAGCGCTCTTCTAGCTGGTTAAACTTGGCAGAAGTTCTGTTCTCATAATCTTTATGATGCTCCTGCAGATCCTTAAGATTTTGTTCATTGGCTTGTGCAACTGTGGTGATGTTCTCCATTTGCCCACTGAATGAGCTAAGTTGACTGTTCATGTCTTCAAGTGTATCATTATTAGCTTTGGCCAATGCTGAGTTGTTGACTGCTAACATCTGTAAATTTTGCACTTTCTCCTTAAGCCAATCAGTGTCCTTTCGTGCTTGAAGGACAACCTGTTGCAGATTTTGAAAGTCATTCTTGATTCTTTGGATAGCCTGACTTGTATCATCCACAGACCTCTGCAAAACACTGATAAGATTTCTTTGTTGAACTTGTGTCAGATTTAAGTTGTTTAGATTCATGATGACCACATTATGAGAATGCATTTGGCTTTGCAAATTTGTTTGGATATTACTTGTGTCTTGTTGGAGATTGTTGATATAGCCAGTGTATGCTTGGAGAGTTTTATTGACGCTGATGATCATGAAAGAGTTGCTATCCAAGACACCTTTCATTTGGCTCTGCCTGTCATCTAATACATTTCCAGAATCTTGTAGCTTCTCCAGTGTATCCTTGTTTTTGGTGGTTTTCTCTGCAATCTCCTGAAGCTGCTGGCGAAGAGCCAGAATGTCAGATCTGAAGCTAGAAAGTTCTTTGTTAGTGCTCATATCTTTTTGTCCAGTTTGGTCATCTATTAAAGAGGGAAATTTTTAAAAGCATTAGCTTTGTTTGATTTATTTTAAGCACAATATAAAAAGACTCTTTCCTGCACTGTAAATGCTGTATCTAAGAGTGATCAGGCAATTAAAGCATTCACTTGGTGAAACATTCTATTGTCACTTTTCTAAAAACAGATGCTGTAGGATCTAATTCTGCCCCCAGACACATGAACTTAACTGCTGTTGAAGCCAATGGAATGTGACCCTTTGTCTTGCCCAGTAGAATAGAATGATGGTTCTATTGTCACTACTGTTTATATATCTTCATTTAAACATGATTGTTTTACTTTCTTTTAAAAATTAACTTTTAGAGCGAGTGGTGAATAGGTGTAGTCTAGTACTGCTACTGTACTGAAGAAAAAATTGGATGATTAAGTAGAGTTCAATAAGTTGAAGGGGTACAAATAAGTAAGTAGCTGATGGTCCTTTCTGGAGTAAGGCAGAGCAGGCTCAATCCCAGGCCTGCAGAGCTGCCAGGTAGTGGGCACCACCCTGTTGCTACCTAGCAGCAGCTATAACTAGCTTATGCTCCACCACCCATGACCTGCTGTGGATACAGGCCAAGGATCCTGGATCCTTCCAGCTCAAGTGCCACTTCTTGCTTGTCACGCATATCCCAAATTCCTCACAGTGCTGCTCACTATCCATGCTTGCCTCCAGCTATGCCCTAGGGTTATCACCTTTGAAATGCACCCCCCCCAAAAAAAACCCAGCAATCCACCCCCCAACAAGGCAAGCCTGTCCAGCTGCAAGCCCTAACCACAAGGAAACTCCTCAACCCCTTCTCCTTCCCCGCCCCTCAACAACCTCTTATAGTATCTAGAGAGATAACACATAGATAAGATTGATAACGTCATTTTCTTACTTAAACTGTGGAAGTGGGAACACTGTGAGCATCTTTAGCTGGACACAAAAACTTTTAACATTAGAAATCCCAGTGTATTGTGAGGATATTGGAAATCTTTAGACCCACGTAAAAAAAAAAACCAACCCACCCCCCCAACAACAAAACAAAACAAAAAAACCCACCCCCAGCAGATAAAATTATTTTTCTGGCAACTGGCAAATCTGCTAAAAAAACAGCCAGGCTGGTCAAATACCGGCCAGGTGGTAATCCTTCTATGCCCCCATACACCCCTACAATCCTATGACCTGTCCCACTGTGATGGAGTGTTTATACCACACAAGGCCTGAGTAAGTAAAAAGGACCAGTTAACCCTGTGATGGCTGCACCAGGAGGAGTCAGGACTGATAAGATCTAATTGATGAATCCCAGCTGGGCAGGGGCAGGCTGAGGCGGTATAAAACCAGGAAGTGGCAAGGAAGAAGCGGGTTGCAGGAAGAAATACTGTAGTCACTTCCTGTAGAGGAGGTGTGTTAGTAAAGAGATGAGGGGGCGATCTAAGGGGAGAGAAAACCCTGGGATTCTGCCTCAGACTACAGACTTTGGCAAGAGCCTGGAAAGCATGAAATGGCAACAGGGAGCCCAGGAAGCTCCAATGGTTACCCAGAGAGGGGAAAAGCTAGAGAAAAAAGGTAGGAAGGAGCCCAGGCAAACAGTAACAGGGTCAGGGATGGCTTAGGCTGTGGTTACTAGACATACAGTTCTTGGGCTGGAATCTGGAGTAGAGGGTTGGCCTGGGTTCCCCTACCAGCCACTGGGAAAGAGGGAGCAATTGAGTCCAGCAGGAGAGAGACTGGATGAGCAACAAAATAAGTCTGGTTGAGAGCTAATCCCCAGCTGTAGCAACGAGGAGGTGCCAGAGTGGTGAGTAGTAAACCATCTGACCCTCACATTTTCCCCATGCCAACCCCACCATGACCCTGCTCCCCGCAACTCCCCTCCTAGAACCCCCTTGCTAATATGCCCCACAGATATTGCCCCCAGGTTTTTTTAAATGTTTAAACTTTTAAAACTTTTTAAATGGGAGTTGACTTAAATAGGAATTGATAGGGCTAATCACCCCTTATATCTGGCCCATATGATACATACTACAGAGTACAAACAATGCTTAGAAATGAATTTGATCACAACAGTTCCAGACTACGATTAACTTAAATCACAGAATAACAGAAGGATGTATGTGCTTTTAGCTGTAACATTCCCTTCCAATGAACTCACCACTGCAAACACAGGACTTTGAATGACTTCATTAACATACAGTTTATGGACATCTTTTATTGAGAAGCCATTAGAGTTTTTTTATGACTGAACTGCAAACTAAAGAGCTTTCCTAGCAGCAAGGACCTCACTTAATATTCTGTAAATATCTATAAAACCTTTCCAGATCCATGGGTCCTACACATGCCTATGGCAACGTGTAGTGTACCTCATCCAGTGCACTAAATGCTCCAATACTACGTAGGTGAAACCAGACAATCACTACACTCTCAAATGAACTCACAAAGGACAATGATAAAAGAAAAAAACACCACATCAACTGTGGATGAACACTTTTCACAAAACAATTACTCTATATCGGACCTCAGTCCTCATCCTCAGAGGAAACCTGCCCAACACTTTCAAAAGATGAGCCTGGGAGCTTAAATTCATAACTTTGCTAGACACTAAAAATCATGGTTTTAAAAAAGAGACAGGATTTATATCTTATTACAACAATCTGTAACCCACTAATCTCCCATTTTTGTCCTATGACTATAGGGCTACGTCACTTTGAATGGTCCCTTAGTTTAGCATAAATAGACATATTCTGTCTGTTCAACCTTGTATTTAGCTGTGCAATCTGAGTACCTTTCCCAGACGTGAAGAGCTCTGTGTTGCTCAAAAGCTTCTCTCTCTCACCAAGAGAAGTTAATCCATTAAAAGATATTACCTCACCCATCTTGTCTCCCTATAAAACTAACAACCTATTTCAAGCAGTAAATATATATATCATCTTTTTAATGAATATCTGGAGCTTCCTTTTCAGTGGTGCAGAGGAGGAAGGCTAGAAATGTACAGTGAAGAAAATATTTTCGACACCACTTATCTCTTCTTTTCTTCAAAGTTGGGAGCGTGATATCACGTGGGAGATCTACATTCATAACTGCATGACTTGCACTTCCCATGATGACTGACAGTGCTCAGAGTGGTTTGAAAAAAGTGTGTATCGGGTCTCATCACCCCCGCCCCCATCTGCCTGTCCCCCTGCTCAGCAACTAACTCTGCCCCCTCGGCCTCAAATCGATCCTGTCTCTGTGGTCCCCACATCAGCTCTGCCCCGCTACGGCTCTCCCCTCGTCCCCCATCAGTTCTGTATCCCCTGTAGTTCCTGGGGTTCTTCACCCCCACTTCCAGGCCTGAAGGGGGCTGCAGTAGAGTCCCCTCTCTCACCATTCCCAGGCTGGGTATTGCAGGGAGAAAAGTAGAGGAGCCATCCTGTTGCTCATAGAAGGGGAAGGGGGAAGAGGAAACACAGCTACTCTGAGCTGCTTGACTCTTTCTGCTCTTCCCCCTCCCCCACTCCTCCTGGGAGAATGATGTTGGATTGCTAAGGGAGTTGGGAAGAGCTCTCCCTGCTTCCAGCAGCCAATCAGGGGTCTGTCTCCCTGTCTCTTCCCCTTCCCACCCCCAGGCAGTATTAAAACTGTGCCCTTCAGCAACCTGGCTTGCTTTTTAGAAGTCTTATTTCCCGGGTCTGTGACCTGTTTCCACCCAGCACACTTCAAGCACTAATAACTGATGAAGTTCATCTCCTACAAGTTATATTTTTGCCTCTGAGGTGAGGGTTAAACATATGTTATTGTTTGAACATCTCTCAGCATGGACTCCAGATTTGGAACTTATCTGCTAAACAACATCAGCTCAAAGATTACTGGGTGGGTGAAGACTTTCGTTCAATAGTCTCTTCTTTTGTCCATCAATGTTTGCATCACTTTACAGCTCTGATTCAGAAAATCATTCCTATTCAGGACAGCTTGTAAGCACATCCTGAAGTCCCTTTGATTTCAACGTGGTTTCAGTGGGAATTCAGGATGTGATTAAGAGCTGTCCTGAATCTGGAACTAAAACTTAAGATGGAATGGATATGCAGGTACCTTGGCCACCTGTTCAGACAGACCTGTGGAGATCAGATCAACTCCCACAATAATACCACACAAGGACATGCAGATAGGATGCCTTATCTGGCTTTTGGCTATGTGAAGATTACCTAATTTCTTCAGACCACTCTCCACTTCTGTGAGTTTCTCAGTGTATCTTCTGTGGGATGTCTCCATGCCACCTGTAACGTTGTCCATTTTTTCTACAACTGGAAAATTGAGAACAGTGTTAACAGGCATTTACATGTGTAATTTTTGTAGGTATCGTGAGAAGTTCCAACTATGAGATATGGTATAAGTAATGACGTTTTTATAGCAAGTTATATAGAAGAACAGTAAACAAGAGTATAGTAAATAATGAAAAATACAAAATATTTGGGGTCAAGCATAGAAAATACTTAAAAACAAACAAACAATTACCTTGCTTTCCACTTAACTCCAGAGTTAAAGTACACTGCATAATGTCAGAACGGTGTGTTCTCTTCTGCTCATAGGACTGTGTACTCTGCTAAGAAGTTAACCACTATGCTTCAACCAAATACTTATTTTGATAATAAACAAATTCATCTCATGAAGATTCTTCTGAGTCTTCCTCTTCAATCAATTATTTATAATATTTAACTACTAAAGGTGCCTCATTGTCTAATGAAGGTATACTGTATGCTTGAGGCTTGTTACCTCGCTAGCAGCAGACTCCCTCTCACTCTCCTGTGGGCCACTTCCATTTAGATGGACCAAGTAATTTTCTGATCCTTTTAATCATGAACTGCATCCTAACTATTAAGTGTGGAGGCTATAGAACCTATATAAAGTGCTGATCTTAAATAATGTCTTCTGAAAAGTGACAGAGCTTTGAAACCTCTTGCTAACAACATAAGGACATTTAATTAAACAATGGTTTTTAAATAATTCTGATTTGCTAGGGTTTAAACTATGGTCATTCTGCCCAGCCTGGACTTATGGCTGTTCCTGATTTGCTCTTGGCTTGGGGAGGTTTGAGTTGTTTTTCTGGCAGTTACCCATTCTGTTGCTTTTCATGGCAACAGTATGGGTACGGAAGAAGGAGAGAGCCAGAAATGAAGTGTTCCAGAAGGCTAAGTGCTAAATATGTATTTATAAATTGTTACAAGCAAAGGAGGAAATTGAATGCTTCAGATGCTAGATTCTGCCTTGATAGGGTTGCCAACTTTCTAACTGCACAAAACTGAACACCCATGCCCTGCCCCTGCCCCGAGGCCCCACCCCTTCTCCAAGGCCCTACCCCCACTTACTCCATTCCCCCACTCTCACTCACTTTCACTGGGCTGGGGCAGGGGATTGGGGTGCAGGAGGGGGTGAGGGCTCTGGCTAGGGGTGCTGGCTCCAGGGTGGGGCCAGAAATGAGGGGTTCAGGGTGTGGGAAGCGGCTTTGGGCTGGGGCAGGGGGTTAGGGTGTGGGAGAGTGTGAGGGCTCAGGCTGGGAATGCGGGCTCTGGGGTGGGGCCAGGGATGAGGGGTTTGGGGTGCGGGAGGGGGCTATGGGCTTGGGCAGGAGTTGGGGTTCAGGAGGGAGTGTGGGGTGCAGGCTCCAGGAGGGTTTTTGTGTGCAGGATGGGGCTACGGGCTGGGGCAGGGGGTTGGGGTTCAGGAGGAAGTGTGGGGTGCAGGGTCCAGGAGGGAGTTTGGGTGCATGAGGGGGCTCAGGGCAGGGGCAGGGAGTTGAGGTGCGGGAGGGGGTGAGGGCTCTGGGAGGGAGTTAGGATGCAGGAGGGGGTTCTCACCTAGGGCAGTAGGTTGGGGTGCGGGGGGGGATTTGGGGTTTGGCTCTGGCCAGGCAGCGCTTACCTCAGGGGGCTCCCGGAAGCGGACGGTATGTCCGGCTCCTATGCGGAGGGGTCAGGGGGCTCTGCACACTGCCCGTGCCCACAGACACCGTCCCTGCAGCTCCCATTGGCCACAGTTCCTGGCCAATGGGAGCTGCGGACCTGGCGCTCGGAGCGGGGGCACTGCATGGAGCCCCCTGTTGCTACTCCTGTGCCTAGGATCCGGACATGCTGGCCACTTCCGGGAGCTGCGCAGAGCCAGGGCAGGCAGGGAGATTGCCTTAGCTCTACTGCGCCGCTGACCAGACTTTAGGCGGCTCAGTCAGCGGTGCTGACCGGAGCTGCCAGGGTCCTTTTTCAACCAGGTATTCCAGTTGAAAACCGGATGCCTGGCAACCCTATGGCTTGACCTTCAAGTCCATGTCCATTTTCAGTTTGGTGTCTGTGTATTCAAATCACAGCTAAGACCAGAAGGTTCTGTCCTATACCCAGATTATTTAGCCTCTGGGCAGAGAGGATCTGCACCACTCCACGAGGGGTTCCAGAAGACATTGTGCTGCATTGTGTCACTCCTCCAGCCCCCTCGCATGCAGAAGAAGAGGTGCTGCACCACGCCTTTGGATGAGCCAGTGTGGAGGTAGAGGACAAAGCCATACCCCTGCTTCCTCCCTATGCCTTCCCACTCTCTTTGGGGTGATTTGTAGCTTGGCAGGAACTACAAAAGAGCAGTCCCTGTGTTCCCCCAAGCACAAGTGGGGGGGACCCTTGTACTGGGCGTGTAACTTCATGAGCTCTCCTCCTACTCTTTGCACTCATGCAAAGGTCATACACAACCTGGCACTTTAATTTGTGGCAGCGAAGGGGTCCTTGTCCCTTTATTAATCTTCCATCTTATTTTTTTGAAGATACATACATATATATAGCAGGATTTTCATGGGTCCATGCTGCTTCAAAAACATAAACCGAACAGACAGCTAGGGCTACATTCATCTCTGGGCTAACTACACTGAAGTCAGGGATTACTTTGGCCCTGTCACAGAGTGATAGCAATCAGCGCCTGAACCAGCACTCTGATCTCTATTTAACCAGTTAGGGTCCGGGGGAGGGCCTCATTACAGAGAGGAATTCCTGATTAGCAGATCGGGTTGGGGCTGGGTAGCTAATTTACAAGGAGCCAGGATAAAAGAGCACAGGAAATGGATGGGGAGGAGAAGTAGAAGAGAGGGAGGCTAGTAGAGCCCGACAAAAGGGAGTTTTCTGGAATTTATAGGAGAGCAAGCCCGGGTGCAGGAACAACTACTACAAAGTGTGGTGAGTCCTGCGGTGGGGACTGGCAGTCAGGTGCAGGGGGTAGGCCTCTGCAAGATGGGCCCTACAGATGACCCTGACTTGGTTTTGGCTATGTCTGAGAGAGCGACTATGGGGGCAGGATGGGATAAGAAAATCTGGGCCCTACAGCCAGCCCCCTATTTAACGGGGTCAGGCAGCCTACATAGCTTTTGTGATGAGCAGGCAAGGAACTACAAACTGGTAAAAGCGACTAGCCTGGACTGGGTGGCGTTTAGACTGAAAGGTACCGGCAAAAATTTCAAGTTGCAAGATGGACTGGGGGATTACAGACCCAGGCATTTGCCCACAAACTGACAGTGGGCCACTCGTTAGCAGAGGCTGGACATCCAAAATGTGACAGATATTATGGATGCTGTTGTTCTTGAGTCTCCTGGAGAATACCCAGAGATGGATCAGGCAGCATCAACTTGTCACCCAAGATGCAGCAGTTAAACTTGTAGAGGAGGACATTCCCTTAGGGGGTTGGCAGTTTAAGGGTCTGGATACAGGGGAGGAAGGCCAGAGAATCTACATCCAGAGAGGGCACCAAAAAGGAGATGGAAGAGCCCAAGAAAACATAGACAGGGTCTCGAGCAATTGTGTGGGTGGAAGGGACATATGAAAAGAGACTGCCCATATATGGATTGTAGGTTTACAGAATTCTGTGTTTGGACTGGGCCTCTCAGGGAGGGATTAAAAAGGAAGTTAATGACCACTTCTGTAATGCTGGGGATAAGGTATCAAAGGGGTCTGGTAGACACTGCCTCAGCCTGTTTGCTAATCAGACATAAGTTGGTGAAACCCCACCAGATACTTCCTAGAGCAAGAGTGAGGCTTGAATGTATACATGGGGATAAGAAATTCTGCCCTATGGCACAAGGGCCTCTGGAAGTTCAGGTGAAGTTTAAATGGAAGCGGGCTGGGGCAGTGGATTGGTTGCCACACCCCTTCATGTTAGGCACGGACTGGAACCCCTTCCCATTAGAAAAGCAAAGGGGTATTTGGAAACCCCAGAGGGATGGAATTTAACCCATGGGGAAGGAAAAAGAGCCATTAAACGTTGAAGGGTTGGAAAATACTAGACAGGAGAACACAAGCCAGAGAGAAAGTAAAGAAAGGAGAATACCCAGTGAGATGAAGTGGGAGGGAAAAAAAATAAGGAAATAGTCTCAGGAGACAAAGATAACCTGAGCTCATTAACAACGGTCAAGTGGTTATTGGAACAGAGCAGTTCCAAGGGTTGAGCAGTTCCAAGCAACCCTGGGAAGAGGAGGAAGGGGGACACACCAGTAGACCCCTCCACAAAACAAAGGGTGAGAACAAGGAGAGTGACCCCTCATGTGAGGACCTGTGGGCTAAAGTGGAATTATGGGGACAACTTCTACCCATCACTGCCCCATCACAGGCCCCAAGGTTTTATGAGGAACTTGAACGTTCTTGGGTGGAAAGCTGCCTTGTTTCTCCTTTCCATAATGCTAATGAGCCAGGTATACACACTCAAGTGTGTGTGTGTGTGTGTGTGTGCGCATATAAAAAACAAACCCAACAAAAAAACGAGCCAGAGTGCAGAGTTCTGCATTTCAGGACTGAGATGATAGTAGCTGGCCTTCTGAATACAAGATCCAGGCTGACAGGGATCCAGAACTAACACTCACTGTAACAGAAGACAGCTGTTTTTTCTGTCCTTATTCCTAATTTATGTCACTCAGAATTTCTCAGGAACCCAGAAGAGAAATCAGCTATTTCACTGCATGTTTCCTGGCCTAGAATGCCAGGATCTCCTAGTCCCCTTCACGACTGTAGCCTCAATACACCAAAGCCTTCAAGCAGGTTCATAAGTCTACTGATTTCAATGGAACTTAAGATGTGCTTAAATGCTTTGCTGAATCAAGGCCTTAATGGGCATTATCACATCAGTTACGGTTCTTGTTAATCCCTGATGAAAGCAATAACTTATTTTTTCTATATGCCAGTGGTTCTCAAACTTTAGTAACCCAAGAACCCCCATTTTGAGTTAAAATTTTGCCACGGACTCCTAAGTCCCCTGCTCAGCCCCAGGCACCGCCCCCACTCCAAGG